GAGGTGATCCAGGAAGTGGTGGTGGTGGTGGTGGTGGTGGTGGTGGTGGTGGTGGTGGTGGTGTGGTGGCGAGGGGGGGGGCTGCAGGAGAACAGAAGGCGAGGGTCGCCAGTGCCTGTAGTGGTGCAAGTTACAAACAAGAAGGATGATGTGGAGGAGAAGGGGAATGAGAAGGAGGAGGGGAACAAGGACGAAGGCGGAAACCATAGTGAACAAGGAGAAGGGGGATGAGACGGAGGACGAGGAGGAGGAGGAGGAGGAGGAGGAGGAGGAGGAGGAGGAGAGGAGGGAGGAGGAGAAGGAGAGGGAGGAAAAGGAGGAAGAGGAGGAGGAGGAGGGGGAGGAGGAGGAGGAGGAGGAGGAGGAGGAGGAGGCATAGGAGGAGCAGGAGAAGGAGGAGGAGGACAAATAACAAGAATACTCATACTGATCAGAAACATAAAAATAATAAGAAGACGAATCATAATAATACGAATGCTACTAATAATAATATTACAAATAATAATAATACTAATAATAATAACATTAATAATAATAGTGATAATAATAATACTAATAATAGTAATAATAATACTGATAATAATGATAATAATAATAGTAAGAAGAATACCAATACTAATAATACTAAGAAGAATAATACTAATACTAATACTAATATGAATATTAATAATACAAATAATAATAATTACCCTGGCGAAGGGCCCAACCATACGCAATTCCGAATGCCGCCGTTGTAAGTATCGTCGTTGGTGGAACACCCGATGGGGCCACGAAGCGTGTGAGAGGTGCGCCAAATGGAGGTGGAACTGCATGCGGACCCTGCCACTGGGGCCTTCGGTGGAGCACCCTGTGGGGCCGCGAAACGTGTGAGGGGTGCGACGAAATGGAGGTGGAACTGCATGCGGACCCTGCCATTGGCGCCCTCGGTGGAGCTCCCTATGGGGCCGCGAAACGTGTGAGGGGTGCGCCGAAATGGAGGTGGAGCTGCATGCGGACCCTGCCACTTGGGCCTTAGGCGGAGCTCTCTATGGGGCCACGAAACGTGTGAGGGGTGTGCCGAAATGGAGGTGGAACTGCATGCGGACCGTGCCACTTGGGCCTTAGGCGGGGCTCCCTATGACGCCACGAAACGTGTGAGGGGTGCGCCGAAATGGAAGTGGAACTGCATGCGGACCCTGCCACTTAGGCCTTAGGCGGAGCTCCCTATGGGGCCACGAAACGTGAGAGGGGTGCGCCGAAATGGAGGTGGAACTGCATGCGGACCCTGCCACTGGGGCCTCAGGTGGAGCTCCCTATGGGGCACGAATGCGTGTGAGGGGCCTGCGCCGAAATGGAGGTTGGAACCGCATGCGGACCCTGGCCACTTGGGCCTTCGGTGGAGCTCCTATGGCGGGCCACGAAGAGTGTGAGGGCGTGCGCCCGAACATGGAGGTGGAACCCGAATGCGGAACCCTGACACTGGGGCCTTCGGTGGAGCTCCCTATGGGGCCACGAACGTGTGAGGGGTGCGCCGAAATGGAGGTGGAACCGCATGCGGACCCTGGACACTTGGGCATTCTTTTTTTAGGTTGGAGCTCCCTATGGGGCCCACGAAACGTGGAGGATGTGCGCCGAAAGGAGGTGGAACTGCTGCGGGACCTGAACTGGGGCCTTCGGTGGAGCTCCCTATGGGGCCAGAAACGTGTGAGGGTGTTATGCGCACGAAAATGCAGGTGGAACCGCATGCGAACCATGACACTGGGCCTTCGGGGAGTCCCTATAGGGCCACGAAAGTGTGAGGGGTTGCGCCGAAATGGAGGTGGACCCGCATGCGGACCCTGACACTTGGGCCTTCGGTGGAGCTCCCTATGGGGCCACGAAACGTGTGAGGGGTGCGCCGAAATGGAGGTGGAACCGCATGCGGACCCTGACACTGGGGCCTTCGGTGGAGCTCCCTATGGGGCCACGAAACGTGTGAGGGGTGTGCCGAAATGGGGGGTGGAACCGCATGCGGGCCAGCCACTGGGGCCTTCGGGTGGAGCTCCCTATGGGGCCACGAAACGTGTGAGGGGTGCGCCAAATGGAGGTGGAACCGCATGCGGACCTTGCCACTGGGGCCTTCGGTGGAGCTCACTATGGGTCCACGAAACGTGTGGCCATGATGGAGACGGCGATGATGATGACGACGATGGTGATAAGAACGATGATGATGATGCTGATGATGACGGTGACGATGACGATGATGATGATGCTGATGATGAGGAGGAGGAGGAGGAGGAGGAGGAGGAGGAGGAGGAGGAGGGGGAGGAGGAGGAGAGGAGGAGAGACGCGGGGCACCGTCTCTTCAAAACGAGGACCCAACACCACAGGATGGTTGGGAATAATAATAATAATAATACTAATACTAATACTACTACTAATACTAATACACAATAATAATAATAATAGGAGGAGGGAGGAGGAGGAGGAGGAGGAAGGAAGCGGAGGAGAGAGGAGGAGGAGGAGGAGGAGGAGGAGGAGGAGGAGGAGGAGGAGAGGAGGAGGAGGAAGAGGATGAGGAGGAGGAGGAAGAGGATGAGGATGAGGATGAGGAGGAGGAGGAGGAGGAGGAGGAGGAGGAGGAGGAGGAGGAGGAAAGGGGCACCTTGGCGAGCCCAGGGCCGTCTTTGAGCGTCTTGGGTGCCTCGGGGATCATCTTGAAGCCTCTTGAGGTTCTCCTGGGGGCCTCTTGGAGGCTTCTTCTGCACCTCTTGTGGCCGTCTGGGCGCCTCTTGGGGCCATCTTTGGGCCCTCTTGGGCCATCTTGGGGCCGTCCTGGGGCCTCGGATGGCCATCGGAAGCAAGAAGGCGAGAAAGCAGCAATCATTTGTTTTCTTCGGGTGGTTGACGGATTGTGGCCTGTTGGAGAGCTTTTGGGAGGTTTCGGAGGCCTCTGGGTGCCGTCTTGGAGCGTTCCTGAGGCTTCTTGCAGCATCTTGAGAGCTATTTGGAGGCATCTTGCGCTGTGTTGGGCCGTCTTGGAGGTCATCTTGTGCTTTCCGAGGCCCTCTGGGAGCCGTCTTGGGCCATCCAGGGCGCCCCAGCGACCCGCCCCCCCCCCGCCCAGGCCCACGGGAGGGGGTCGGGGGGAGGGGTGAACCCTTCGCCCAAGACGCTTCTCGGGAGGCCCAAGACGCCTCTCGGGAGGCCCAAGACGCCTCTCGGGAGGCCCAAGACGCCTCTCGGGAGGCCCAAGACGCCTCTCGGGAGGCCCAGGACGCTTCTCGGGAGGCCCAAGACGCCTCTCGGGAGGCCCAAGACGCCTCCTGGGAGGCCCGAGACGCCTCTCTGGAGGCCCAAAATCGACGCCTCTCGGGAGGCCCAAGACGCCTCTCGGGAGGCCCGAGACGCTTCTCGGGAGGCCCAAGACGCTTCTCGGGAGGCCCAAGACGCCTCTGAGGAGGCCTCTCAGCAAGAGGCCTCTGGACAACCACTCTGGCACTCGCGCCGTGGAATTGATCAGTTTACTTTCGGTACACTACTGGGGCACTACTTGGCCAATTGCTTGGCGGACGAAGCTGCGGGGTTCTGGCCCAAGGAACTTGCCGTGGACTCGACGTTTGCTGATTCGGTGCAGCATGCCAGGGCCGTCCGGCGCGATCGCATATGATAACACCGGGTCCACCTGTCAGAGCATGCGGTTTTTATTGGGATGGGATCAGCCTGTCATTGCCACCAATTTGGGTGCAGCGTCAGTGGGAGGACGCTGGAGTCTTTCTTGGAGACGTAGTTCTGGGGTGGCATTTTCAAAAGTTCTTCCCAGAGGGTTGCTAGTACTGGTGTGTCGGTTCAGGGCGTTCCGATCCACGGTTCCTTTTTTTGTTTGGTTTGTTGTTCTTCCTCGGGTTTGCAGATCCACGCGTGCCTCGGGTATGGTTGCGTCGGGAAGCGCTTCTTCGGAGGGCTGACAGGACTGCGCTGGTGTATTCGGGGACTACGGACGACAGACCTTCAGCAACCTGGCGAGAGGCATTTTGCCAGAAGCTAGTGTGCGGCGAAGGAAGTTGGGGACTACGTGCCAACGGGAAAGCACTGACTCGGGGGCTGCCCCCCAAGGACTCTTGTGGAGATCGGCCCTGCGAAATTGATGCGGGTGTTTCCACGACTGGTCGTGGGGGTATGTGCCCGTTGGAGGGTGCGGAGTCGGGGGCTGTCCCTTCGGCCTCTCGAGGAGATCGACGGGATGAAACCCTTGCCCAAGGCCAGACCACGGCGCCAGGGACCACTGGGCAGAACCAGCTCAGGGCCCCCCCGCCTACGGGGGAGTGGAGGCGCGAGAGGGGCGAGGCCAGTGAACAGACTGCCCCCTACTTGGGAAGGGCCCAGGTCGCGGACGCTCTCCTGGGAAGTGCGCGCCGCCAGGGTGGGACTGGGTCGGGGGCTGCCCCCGCGGACCCTGAAGGAGTACCTGGAGGTAAAGATGATGATGAATATGTCGGCGCGTGCCATGGGGAGGGTCCTGGGTTTGGGGTTTCCCCCTCGGACCCTCTGCGCTGGAGGTTTTCTATGTGCCCTGGAAGTGGCGCGGGGTCGGGGGCGATCCCCACGGACTCTTAGGGCCACCGCGCCTGTGCCAGTGGCTGAGCTGGCAGGCGCTCTCTCTCTCTCTGTCTCTTTCTCTTCCCCTCTCCCTTCCTTCGCTTGCTCTTTGCTGTGCTGCGGCGGTTCGCATGCCAGCCAGGGTGGAGTCGGGCCCGCGGAGTACAGAATACTCCTGCTTTCCCTGCTGCTCCTCCTGTTCCTTCCCTTGCTCGTCCTGCTCCTCCCCTTTTGCTGCTGCTGCTGCTCCTTCCCCTCTCCTTCCCACTCCTCTTCCCTGCTTCCCTCAGCTGGCGCGCCCCGACCGGTTGCAGCCGACTTCGCCCGCGCGCGCGCGACTGGGGCGGATGGCGCGCGGGACCGGCGACACTGGCAGCAGCGCCGAGAATGCGGGGGAGCGCCGCAGGCGCCGCAAGGCGAAGTCCAGCCCACCCGTCGCGCCGATGCAG